CACACACACACACACACACACACTTTCTGCCTCTCTCTCTCTGTCAGAGGCCATACGTCTGCGATTATGAAGGCTGCGGTAAAGCTTTCACGAGAGATTTCCACCGCGCTCGACACCTTCTTACGCACACTGGGGAAAAGCCGTTTGAGTAAGGCCAAATGTTTTACTTCTTAAAATGGATTTTGCTTGTCCTTATGGAAACGAAGGGGAGTTAAAACCGGTGTGTGGGTGCCACAGAGCATGCATGCCTAGGTTTGGTGTCAGGAGCACTGCCATAACAGCGTGCACGCAGGGCGAGATGTGGGGAATCTCCTCAGCCTAAAAACTGTCTGGCAGTGATCCATAATAGATACTTAAAGGAATGGGCAGATTTCTCCCTAGAATACAGAATTAAATGAAGGAAGGGGAGTTATACCCTATTACTAAGCCCCTAATAGCTGCATTTCATGGACTAGGATCTAGGAGTTCCTATGTGTTTTATTAAAAATCTCTTCTGATATGTTTTCCTGTGGCTTTTGATTGTAGCTTAGCCTCTGGGTTTTCGTGTCTGTAAAGCAAACTTTTATATTTGGGTTGCGAGCATTTGGTTATCCTTCCTGTATTTCTCTTGTCCAATTATTTGTGCACCTGCCTAGGAAACAAATCACTGTTTGATAATAAGAAAATGCAGTTCATTTGTAGGTGCACAGCTGATGGATGCAATCAGAAATTTGGAACAAAATCAAACTTAAAGAAGCACATTGAGCGCAAGCATGAGAATCAGCAAAAGCAATATGTGGTGAGTAATTACCTTTAAAACTGTAAACTGGAGGCTAAACAAGCTCCTTTTTGCGTATCTAGTGAAATACTGCAACTTGTTATTATGCCGTATTTGTGTACGTTCAAATACTGTGATTAGGATTTCAACAAACACACGTGGACTGTGCTATCATTATTTGGCCTCTAATGATAACTTAATTTCCTAAATAGTGCGACTTTGAAGGCTGTAACAAGTCTTTCAGGAAACATCAACAACTTAAAGTTCATCAGTGTCACCACACCAATGAACCTCCCTTCAAGTAGGTGGATAATTTTAATAATGAACTTTGACAATTCCATTTAAAGACTGTAGGTGAAGCCAGGTGCCTTTTCTCAACCTTTTCACTGATGTGGCATTTAAAAAAAAACTGGCATGAATTGGTAGTCATGGCTGCAAGTACATTTCTTGTACTAGTCTTTTGCTCAGTAGTCGGGTTTGAGCAACAGTCTTGGTGCTCTGTAACTTTAGCATTCTTAGGATTTATTACAGGTTCACAGGAAAAATAAACAAAACCCCCCAGTTTTGAGTTCATACAGTCTGAAATACAAGCATAAGAGCTTGCACAGTAACGAAAAACGCAGGTACCTCTTGTTTTCCAGTAAAAAGCAGTGACTTGGCTAACGTTGAAGTGAGTAGTAGCTTAAAAAACGTGAGAGGCTTGGACACCAATCTGAGCAGCTGTGCATTGCAACTCCATTGACACATCAGTATTGATCTGATGAAAACAAAGTTCAGTCTTGTATTTCTTACAGATGGAACACACTTTACAGGAGCGCTCCACTTAAGTGAAGTACCCAAGTATGGCTGGGTGACAAGCACAAAAACAGTCAGTGCTCTGCTGCTGCTCTGACTGCTAGATCTGTACAAACCACTTAAACCCTCCACTTTCTATCTCTCTTTTATGTTTGAAGAGCCTGCTCTTTAGGGATGGTATGAGGCTTGATTCTTTAGATAAAGTTTAACTTCCTGTATACCTGGAAATCATACTGTAGTTTTAACTGTCAAGACGATCAGAGTCCTCTATTAGAAACAAAATATGGAATTTACTTGTACAGGGCAGGAGGGGGACAGAACAGATATCTAGACTAGGGGAAACTTGGATTATTTTGTCCACTTGAATTGTTCTTAACAAAAAATATGCAGATGCAGTGAAAGAAATTAAACCACTGTACTTTATACCTAGATGTAATAATGAAGGATGCGGGAAGTATTTTTCTACTCCTAGTCGACTAAAGCGGCACGAGAAGATGCATGAAGGTAATACAGTTTTTCTTCTTGCTCCAATTATGTTTTAGCAAACAAAAAAGGACTTCTTCCAGTACAGAGAGTACGCAGGGATGTATGACAGACATGAAAATATTCTGGGCCTAATGATCCAGCCAGACAAAACAACAATAAGGGTTTTGAATAGTCAAATGGGATACAATTGCAAGGCGTTGCAATGTTCAGTTACAGTGTATTTGTGACAGGCTGAACATAGTTCAGAATTCCTTCTTAGGAATTTCTTGTCCTAATGTGCTTCCTTGTCAATAATCCATCTTCTGGAGATGGACTAATGGTTGAGGCACTAGCCTAGACCTCCAGAGGTTAGGATCAGGTAGCAAATTTCCTATGGAGCCTTGGCGAAACTATGTAGGCTTGCATTTTTTAAAGTTGTTAATGTACCTATGCGAAAGGTATTTAAGTGGAGGTGGTCAGGAGGTGGTCACGTATGTTTGAGCTAATCCTGCTACACTCCTATCCATTCCTCCAGTGCTAGGGAAAAAAAATTCCACAAACCCAAGGGACTAGGAAGAGTACCAAAAAGCTGCAATTTATACTGCCTTCCTTTCTTAAGACAGGGACTTGTTCATAGTTGTTTGACCTTTCTAGTCCTGGGTTTTAAATAGTGTTGTTGACTTTCTGTGGTTCATTTAAAAACCATCCTGTCTGCTTGACAGAATGGTAGAGTCTCTTTAGACTCTGGAATATTACTGTACAGTCAAGATATTTTTTTTTTTAATATGTAATACAAATATTTATACAGAAATAATATATATTATTTCAGTTATTTTCATCTGTTTGAGTGAAAGGGTATGACTGGTGAGGAAGTACTTTTACTGAAGCAAGGAGAGATAGAGTTTTATAAAATCATTTAGGTTGGAAAGGACCTCTGGTCCAACTCCCTGCTCAAGGCAAGGTCAGTTAGACCAGGTTGCTGAGTGCCGTGTCCAGTGGAGTTTTAAATGTTTCCAGGGGTAGAGATTCTACAGCCTCTCTGGACAACTTGTATGAGTGATACAAGGTTTCTTTCTTAAATCTGTTAAGGTTTTCTCATACTCTAATTGGCGTTCATTGCCTCTGGTGCCATCAGTGTGCAGTATGGGAGGAGGAGGAATACTGGTCTTTAATTTTCAAATGTTGAAAGTGGAGTTCCCCCTTGTAAAAGTGGACTCTGTTTGCCAGAAGCTTTGTGATTGTAATGTTTGCCCTGTCTACCAGGCTATACGTGCAGGAAAGAAAACTGCTCATATACTGGAAAAACTTGGACAGAGCTTCTAAAACATAATAAAGAACGTCATACAGGTAAACTCCAAATGCTTTAGTAAATATAACTTTTGGTACAAATAGGAAACAAACTGCTAATTTGAGAAGTCCATGCTAAACTAATTTCATCAACTTGTCATTGTATCTAGACAAACTTGTTTACTAACACTTTATCGGTAAAATAGTCACTCTGGCTACACCTTTAACTGATGAAAATGCTACTCGGTATACTAACTTTGCTTTGTGATCCAGTTAACAAGAAATTGTATAATGTAGAATTTCAGATCTGGATAATTCATACTGCACTATTCTCTTCCAGTCTCTGAGTTTTTTGCATTTCATGTGGATTTTAGCATTGTTCTGGAGGATTACTGGGGTTTGATTCTGAGCTCCTGTAAGAAGCTCTTAATTTATATTCTGCCTGTCTCTCTCCCACTCAGAGCCAATAGTTTGCGGTGAGTGTTACAAAACTTTTAAACGGAAAGATTACCTCAAGCAGCATCAAAAAACACATGCTGTGGAGAGGGAAGTCTGTCGATGCCCAAGAGAAGGATGTGGGAGAACTTACACAACTGTATTTAACCTTCAAAGCCATATCCTCTCTTTTCATGAGGAGAAAAAACCATTCTCTTGTGATTATCCAGGCTGTGGAAGAGTGTTTGCAATGAAGGTAGTTTTGTTTTTTTTTTTAATGCTGTCCTAATCCGAATTCCATAACCTCAAATGATAACCCTAACTTTTTTTTCTTGCTCTTGGTAACTGTAGCAGAGCCTAGCAAGGCACACAGTTGTACATGATCCTGAAAAGAGAAAGCTGAACTTGAAAGTAAGTTATACTCTTGAAAAAGTCCTCTCAACCATACTCTGTCGCTTCAGAGGAGGGTAAACATTCTGTGTTTTCGAATGTGACTTCAAGCAGGAAAACAGGCCAGCTATCTACTTAATTTGGGAGATTCTTAATTTCTGAAGATCCTTTAAATAATGCTGTGCTGGCCTATTCATTGTTTTCTTCTT